ACTCCCTTCTTCTGGGTCTTGTCCTCAGGGACTGCAGAGCTGCTCCATCCCCTAAGAGCTGAGCCACCTCTCTGAGTGGGTTCACTGAAGCCCTTGCAGTCAGGTTCTCTGGGCCCTGGTGCATAATAGCGATGTACAACCCTCTTTAATCAGTTAACCAGTTAAGCGTTATCACTTAAAGGGAATCCTGTGGGAGGGAGGGGGAAGCTGGAATGGCTGCTCCAATCTGGCTGGGTCACTGGTTAACTGGTAAGCATCAACCAATATGGATGATGCTTATTGGTTAACTGGTTAACCGCTGACAGACCTAGTGAATAATGCATTCTTAGGGTTTAATGCCTTCCTGCCCATGCTGTAGCCAGGGGACAGGTGGTAGCTGGGTTAAGTTGGTGACCAGCAGCTGCCTTTTGAAACTGTGTGGGCAGGAAGGGACAAGCTACTTCCAGCCATGGGGAGTTGGAGGGGAGGGGAGAAGAAGAGATGAGCTCTGCAAAGACACAGGCCAGGACATCCCTCTCCCTCCCATCTTCTTCTCCAGCCACTGGAAGCAGCCCATCCCTTCCCTCCTGTACAGTGCTGAAAGGTGGCTGCTGACCACATTCTGGTGTAAATCCTGGAAGAAATAAGGGGTGGGGCAGGGGAAATGCAACCTTCCCATGTTACCTTGAGACGATGCAGTGCCAAGTAGCAGAAGGGACGGGTCTGTCCCAGGGGCCAACAAGACATGGCAAAGACAAATGGGCAGGGAAGTTTGAATTGGTTGGTCATCGACATGGGAGAGAGAAGTGTCTGGGAATGTGTGTGACCTCTTCACATGTGTGTTGGGGAAGTAGGAGTATCTGTGTCACCCTCCCCATGTCAACCCTAAAGCCTTGAAGATAAAGATGGTAAATAAAAGAATCCAACTACACAGAAATTCTTTTTAACAGGTTCAGTCAACCTGATGTTAATTTGAACATTTGTATTGCTTAGCTCTGGTAGGTTGCAGTTGAACTCACTTAAATTTGAGTGTTTTTACCAAATGTCCTGTATTCAGCATAGGGAAAATATAGTTACCACAGTAAGGGGACATTGAAGGAAATATTTCCCTGTAAATTTCACAATTCCCATTAAAATAATGAAAGTTATATCTCCTGAGCAATGCAATGCTCTGAAAAATGTATTTCTTCAGGACTTGCCTTTAAATGCCTTATCATTATATGCTCTGTAGTATCAATTATCAAAATGGACCAGACTGGTTCACAAAGCATCAAATTCATCCTTAAGACTCACATTTTTTCCTTGTAAGGACAAAAAGATTGCCAACTTTGGGAGTAGATACTATGTTTATGTTCTGTGTGTGCAGAATGCCGAATACAGAAGGGTTCTAGTTCATGACTGGAGTTCCTTGGTGCTACTGACACACAAATAATAAATAACAAGTCAATCAAACTATTTTAAAATAAAGAATACCTGGATAGATGCTGAGACTCCAAGTTGTGTCAGCCATGGCCAAGTATGCTGGAAATTCCCAGTCGCGTTAGTTCTTGACTCAGACTTTTGGATTTGTCCTCCAAGAACCAACAGACCAGAACCATAGAGTGTTTTGATATTGAAACTCTTGCTATCTCTCAGGTCAATGGTAGCCTGTATGTGATAATATCAATTATATGAAAAAGGGTGAATTTACAGAAATTAGAACTCTCGTTAGTCAGGATTCATTGAATCCTAGGGCTGGAAGAGATCTCAGGAGGTCAGCAAGTCCAGCCCTCTGGCCAAAGCAGGACCAATCCCATCTAAATCATCCCAGCCAGGGCTTTGTCAAGCCAGGATTTAAAAACCTCAGGGATGGAGATTCCACCGCCTCCCTAGGTTACCCATTCCAGAACTTCACCACCCTCCTAGTGAAATAGTTTTTCCTAATATACAATCTAGACCTCCCTCATTGTAACCTGAGACCATTGCTCCTTGTTCTGCCATCTGAGAACAGCCTTTCCCCATCCTCTTTGGAACCTTCCTTCAGGTAGTTGAAGGCTTCTATCAAATCCCCCCTCACTCTTCTCTCCCACAGACTAAATAAGCCCAAATCCCTCAGTGTCTCCTCATAGGTCATGTATTCCAGCCCCCTAATTATTTTGGTTGCCCTCAGCTCGACCCTCTCCAATGTATCCACATCCTTTCTGTAGTGGAGGAACCCAGAACTGGATGCAATACTCCAGATGTGGCCTCACCAGTCCTGAATAAAGGGGAATAATTACTTCCCAGATCTGATGTCAATGCTCCTCCTAATAGAACTTAATATGCCATTAGCCTTTTTGGCTGCAAGGGCACACTCATATCCAGCTTCTCTTCCACTGTTATTCCCAGGTCCTTTTTTTGCTGAACTGCCACTTAGCCAGTCAGTCCCCAGCCTGTAACAATGGGATTCTTCCCTTTTCAGTTCAGGATGCATCTTTGAGATGAAGTGTAAAAGGGAAGTCCCAGGAGCTTGTGGGTCATTGAGGATCACATGGCACTTGTAGAAAGGAAAAGTTAACGTAGGTGTTTAGCATGAAATTCCAGTTTCAAATTCACATTCTACCTCAGGGTTCCCAGCCTCGGTTACTTCTAGACTGTTTCCTTGTTCAGAGTTGTTAAACATGTAGCATCCTATTACTCTGCATTACCTCTCTGTTTGCTCTTAGGTGCAATTCAAGGTGCAGTTGATACTGATTTATGAAACCTTAGCAAGTTTGGATTCCTGTTACCGGAGGAAGTTTGCCACTCTCTTTGTGCATCAATACGCTAGGAGAGTGCAGCTGGTTGCCTGGACACTGGCATAGTGGAGGACCCCGGGTTCTGGAATTCAATTTCTCCATGACAGAGCCCAAGCTCAAGGTGTAAAACAAAGGCAGTCTTGCCTGAGATGGCACTTTTACTTCCCTTACTCCTTTTAGCTCAGTGAACAGACTGAGCCTCATGCATTATCCATACATTTCTGTTTTGTTTTGCAAATGTCAGTGCATGTACCCAGAGACCTACTGTATGAAAGACATTTAAAAAAAATTATGACATTTTCCCTGCATTTTAATGCATCAGCTTTTCTCCATCCTATAATGTAGAGTTGCTATATGCTGTTGAACAAGTTATTGTGTTTCAGCCCAGCGGGGAACTTAATTTGATGATGGATCCTTGCGTATGATGAGTGATGTGCTTAGAGGGAAAAGGCATTAAGTATATGTAATATTACTAACTAGAAGAATATTACCAGCATGAGGCCAGGATAGCTAATTGTAATTATTGGTTATTAAATAGCACAGCATGAATTTTTAAGGAGGATAAGCATAAGATGTGATGTTTACAAAAAGAAAATTAAATTCTATTTTCCAGAGACTCCGTGCTTTACAAATGACTGTTCATTTGTCTGTCTAGGCTAAAAAGCCAGTTGTACCAGACATTTTTACTGGGTGTCTGATGATTGAGCTACAATTTAGAGGAAGCATTCAACTGTTTTCAACTTCTGCTTCCTACCCCATAAATAGGATGTGTAATTCTCTCTGTTTACTTGGCAAACCCATAAGAGAACCATGCTTCAGAGCCACATTTTCCAAGTATTTTTGGCACTCCCTCCTCTTCTTGAAGCCGCTTTTATTACAGAGAAGTTTAGAGATATTTGAAAGCCCCACATTTTCTTCATACCTAGACAGTTCAACCCAGACATTTGTTGGTAAGGTTTATCTTATTCTCGTCCATCCAGGTATGCTGTTAATCAGCAGCTGGTACCATTTCATGGGCCTCTTATCTCACAAGGGCTCTCCAGTGTTTAATTTCAGTAGGCCATTTCAGCTACATATAATTGAAACAGAAGTGCCCAAAACCATATGAATAAAAACACTATCCAGTTCTACACATTGCACAGCTGAAGTGGCTCACTGCATGTGGACCAGGACTTATTTAGGTGTGTCTACACTGCACCATAAGTCAAAACCAGATACGCAATTTGAACTATGCAAATTGCATATTTGCATATCTTATTTCAATGCTAATTCGAAATAGCTTATTTCGTCATTTGGCACTGTCTATACAGTGCCAAATTTTGAAATAAAGTTCTATTCCGAAACATCCCTTACTCCTCATAAAATGAGGTTTACAGAGACATCGGAATAGCATGCCCGAAATAACAGGCTTGCTGTGAAGACACGAGATAGTTATTTTGGTATATTCCAGTATCCCGAAATAGCTTTGCAATGTAGATGTAGTCTTAATGTGCAGAGGAGAAGAGTTAGGGGTAGCTCTCAAGTATCTGAATGGGGCTTCCAAAGAAGATGGAGCCAGGATATTCTCAGTGGTGGAAGCTGACAGGACGAGGAGCAATAGTCTCAAGTTGCAGTGGGGGAGATCTAGGTTGGATGTTAGGAAAAGCTATTTCATTAGAAGACTGGTGCAGCATTAGAATAGGTTGCCTAGGGAGGAGGTGGAATCTCCATTCTTTAAGGTTTTTACGTCCCTGCTTGACAAAGCCCTGGTTCGAATGATGTAGTTGGGGTTGGTTCTGCAGGAAGTTGGACCTCCTGAGATATCTTCCAACCCTGTAATTCTATGTTGATAATCTGGGGGCTGTGTCATACATCACCAATGTATTGCGCAGGGTGATTCATGTTGCTTTGGAGAAGAATGTCTCCAGGAATTAAAGATTGCTCTTCAATTAAAGATTACTACAGGGTGCAGCTCCACGCTCTCTATGCTTGTCAATCTCCCTGTCTCTGGGGGTAGGCAGGCCTGGCTCTGCCCCTGGCCACTGGGGAGGGCTGGGGGCATACCAGCCCTGGCTTCTCACCTCCCTCCCCCACAGCCACCGAGGAGGGGAGCACCAGGACCGTGCCAGCCCTGGCCTCTCAGCTCCCCATATGCATTACTACAGGGTGCAGCTCCACGCTCTCTATGCTTGTCAATCTCCCTGTCTCTGGGGGTAGGCAGGCCTGGCTCTGCCCCTGGCCACTGGGGAGGGCTGGGGGCATACCAGCCCTGGCTTCTCACCTCCCTCCCCCACAGCCACCGAGGAGGGGAGCACCAGGACCGTGCCAGCCCTGGCCTCTCAGCTCCCCATATGCACCCTCTTGGCCCTCCACTGCCTCTGGCCGCAGCCAGTCCCACTTCTCACCCCCCTCTGCCCTCTGGTTGTTGGGACTGCAGCCATCCCCGGCCTCTCAGCTCCCACACAGCC